GCGGTCTGGGAAACACCCCTCCTTTCTTTGAGACGGAGATAAATTTGCTTGGAATAATTTCTCGTATTTGAAACTGAGCGTTGTGCTAGCAATATAAGTAATTTTTCAAAAATATAAAGGGAAGTGGTTGATCGCAGTGATCTTCTTTTGGTAATCTGGCGAGGTTTAAAAGGGTTATCATATCTAGGAATTTAGGAAACGTCAATTTTAAACGTGTTTTGTTTTACTCATTATTTTAATTTATTTTAAATGTCTTGGCATGTTTGTTTGGTAAAGTGAGAGTGTCGAACTTATTAAAACTTTTTTATTTGTCACGTTTTCCCTGATATCCATTGAATTAAAAACTAGGATTCTATTTCGTGGTGTTTAGAAAAATAATCGACAAAAAATTATCGATTTGAAAATTATTATAAAAAAAAGGTGATAGTTTTTATTTTAAGAAGGTTCAATGTTTGCTGTCCCTAAGCGGCATTATAAACATTCTTTATTTATACACATTCAGAATATCATATGATCTTTAAACAGTTTTTATGCATATTTTTTATTCATTCTCAGGTAGTCTTTTTAATCTCTTGAATATAAACAACAGCATCTCTTCCTGTTAGGAATTATTTTCATTATTTTATTTGTCTATTTATTTATTTTGCAGAATAGAAAATATCACGAATTCTTCAACTGTGTTTCCTATTTTGGAAACTTTTGAGTTCAACGCTTGGCTTTATTTTATATCCTGGCTTTATTAATCCTCACAGATAACTTAACATACTATAACATACTTCACATGTATTGTGAAGTATGGTTATTTTAATAATATTTGCATTTTTTGCCCATATTTTTTTGGCTACAACAAAACAAATGTAGTTGCTCTGTCTGTACCAAACTACAGGGCGCATTAAGAGTAAAACAAACAAGTTTAACTTATTAGTTAATTAAGTTAACTTAAAACAAGTTTATACTTATTTTGAAAGGTAGCAAATTCAATACAAATTATAGGAAAGTAATTATTGTTAATTAAATTATTTGTCTACCTCATTAAGCAATCTAAATTTATAACATTTTAAAATGTTCTCTTTTTAAATTAAAACCCCTTTAAAAATGTAGACTACATTCTAGGAAGGGATTCAAATGCATTATTATCAAATTTCCATTAGCACACACTTGATCTGCAACCAATTAATTAATTTTTCGCCTTTTAGCCTTCAAAGCGCAGCAGTATTTATTATATATTTATATTAGTAATGTTTACAATAATGCTTGCATGTATGAACAGTGGTGGCTAAAGGGATAGAAGCGAATCTCAGCGATGGCTGATTGATATGAATTTTGCACCTGGATCGCACTGTTCTGATGTAACAGTTCTGATGTAAAATATCCTCAGTGATGGACGGATCAAGGGTTAGAGTAACGATGACGTCAGGCTAACCGTGGGAGGTTTTCGTGATTTTTTCCTCTTCATTCGGGTTAGTTCCATTAGAAAGTCCTCCACTAAGACAAATTTCTCCTGACCCAGGAATTTCTTTGTTTTCAGGATTGGGTTCAAAATTACAAAGTTACGAGACTCACATTGGTAGTTGTAAACTCAAAATTGGGTTGGCTGTTCAATGACGGTTATAAAGTAAGATATGTATGATAATGTTTATATGTATGCTTACACACAATGTTTATTTGTATAATTGTACCTCATAAAATTTCGCAATTCCAACTCATTTTTCATACCTTCCACCAACTACGGAATTTCTGTACTTTCAGAAAACTTTTTTTATGCTATTATAATGTATTAATATTTTTATAAATATGATTTTCGTTCACCACTACGTATAAATTATTTAATCAGATAAACAAAAAGTCAAAAGGATAAATGGCTATGATCTGAAATCCCGGTAAAAGTTTTGGATAAGATAAAAAATTTTGTTTTAAACATTTCTGCTGTAGTACACTATTACCGGAAGTAATAATTCACAAATGCCTCAAGCATTAGAGGATACGCCATTAGAGACATATTAGGTAACTTATTTTCATTCGAAGACTAAGGATCTTCGTGTCTACTTTAAATCTCTTTCTTTGTTCATGCGCTTCAGTCCAAAAATAGTTTTCCATGGGATTTAGTTAATACTTCATAATATCATAGCTAAATTAAAGTCCTATTTAAACAAGAATTCATTTCATTGGAACTTAATAGCACCTTTTTATTAATTAATCTTCGTCTTCTTTATATTAGGTTACAATGCATGCATTTTTGAAATCGTTTTTTGAAAAACCTAATAATATAAAGCCACCGAAATGGGCAACAAACAATAAAAAATAAAACAAAAATTGTGTATTAAAAGCTAATTCAGCAAGATAATTTGTAGAAGGGCTAAAGAAAGAATTTTTAGTATGGTGATATTCTTTGGCCAAAATTTATTATAAAGATAGTAGTGAAGTTTGTAATTATTTTCGAAAGTTAAAATTATTATTAAGTTAAATTTTGATCCTCATAATTTAGTCTAGTGAAACCAAAAGCGATAAAATTATGCATTAAACACCAATCCAGCAGAAAAATTTATAGGATGGATAAAAAGGAGGTATTTTGATGTCGTGTTGTTTGCCAAAAATTAATTCACAAATACTTATTTGTACTGCTAAGTGCCAGTTCTAAGGGAAATTTTAAAGCATGGCTGAAAAAATTATGTATCTCTTACATCGCATTACTGTTAGCTAAAAATTATTATTTAAATAACAATTCTTGCTTTATTGAAATTATACAAATAATTGTAATAAAGGCCAATTCATTTGAAATATTTGTAAAAAATGCATTGAAGAGTTAGTTGTAAAAAACGATTTAATTAAAAAAATAGTATTTGTTATACAGAATTGTTTTGTTTTCGAAAAATTGATTTTAGAATAGTGATATTACAAATACTTATTTCACTAAGTGCCAGTACAACAAGGAAATTTATAACCTGTCCGAAAGTATCTGTTATACTATATTACTATATTGTTCACCAAAAATTATTATAAAATATAAATAACTATGAACTTACTGCCAATTCCATGGAAAAATTTATAGCATGGGGACAAAAAAGCAGATATTTTTCCAAAACTGATTGCAAAATAGTAATGTCTGTTCTGAACAAACTGAATGATTTGGTTGATAAAAGCATGTCTATATTTAGGAAGACACGAACGATTTAAAGTATGTTAACGGTAACTATAGCAACCGCTTGTCTTTAAAAAAAAATGAAAACGATTTATTTAGAACGTGTATTTTTCCGCATACGTTGTTGTGCGCTCGTGAATATGTTTGAAATATAGAATTAGATACTTTTGTGTATACAGTTTTAAAAGAAAGAGAAAATGTGTTTTGAGTTTAAAAAATGTGTTTAGTGTTCATAAGAGAAAATGTGTTTTGAGCTTCTCACCTGTACGACGTTATTTTCTTGTTTAATTTTTAACTTCAAAGTGAGCTCTCTTTCAATACAGTATTTCAACTTAATCTTATATATTGTGTATTAATATTATGAACTTTTTATCGATAGTTATTGATAGTTTGAGTTTGTAATCGTAATCGATTATAAAACTTCTTTTTTTTTTTTATCGTCGCGTTAGTTCAAGTTAAAGCTCGGTAAAGTTTAATGTTACCTTTTTTTTTTATTCCTTCGCACACTGCAGTAGAAATTCAGGATAAATTTTTCCTCTCTAATTTAATGTAAATAACTTTTTTATTAACTTTGCATTATCCTTTATTAAAAAAGTGTATCAATTAAAATTAAAAGTTTTAAAATCTTCGCTAATTCAACAAACCTGCTGTTCCTTTAAAACACATTTTAAATTTGATTGCTTTTAAACTATTTGAAACCAAGACAAATAACAGTAACTACGCTAACGACTCCATATTTTTACTTAAGTCCATTTTTAATGTCTGTAAACACGAAGAAGTAGAGGATTTTATAGCAGAGGAAAAAGTATCGATGATATTAAAGACGAGTCGATTAATCATTAATTCTAAAAATCAAATCTTTTGTCAATTAATCAGTAATTCAAAGTTTGCTAAATTCTAGTTTAAATCATTCTCAGAGACGAAGTTATTCATACTTCCAGGGTCAACTTTGAATGGTAAAATATATAACTGGAGTTTATTTAATAACTGGATAACTGGAGTATATTTAAAAATATGTCCGCAGCAATCCAATTTCATTATAAACGCTATGAAGTTACAATATATTGAGGCAAGTCATTCATAAAAAGCCCTATACAATAATTTTTTATTAATTAAAATGCTTTCAGATGGGTAATTACTTTAAAAAAAATCCAATCAAGAGAAATAAAGTTATTTAGTTCTATATTTTTAGCGCACTGCACATATAGTGTTTGACAAGACAATTAATTTAAATCAGTAAAATTTTTAAATAATTTTGATAGGTAACAAATTAAGTGAAAATTAATAATTAAATAATTATAATAAATAAACTAATTATAATTATAATTATAATTAAATAAACTACCATCACATTATTAGCGAAGCATTCTTAAAGTTAAAAGCGTTTTTAAAATTCTCCAACTTTAATCAAATTCTCCTTTCCAGATATAGAATATACACCATGACAAATATAGCAAACTTATTTTTATTTCATTATAATTAATTTTTTATTGCATGTCTGAAGACTATTTTTAAAACTTTTGTTTAGTAATCTTGAACGCACAGGTCTTAGACCTGAACACGAATCACAATCATTAGCTTAAGCCTAAACCAAACATTTACATCATAGAGTAGATATAAATAAAATAGTTATCTTATTTGTCACTGATTAAAGGGCTACGTAAATTCAAAATATTTAAAATTTAAATTATTTTGAGTGGAAAATGTCCCTTTTACGAAAACTTATTGGCAAGCATATCCTTCTACAAAACGTTGCCTGAGTAAATAAAAGTAAACTTTTATTCACGAATATGGAAGACAGTAGACAAAGCATTATATCACGTACAGACTTACTCAATATCCTATTTCTTTAACAGTACACTCCTTTCACTATTGAAATTTTGAAGTCTCATAAAAATAGGAAACTGATAAAGATAGCTAATTTTTTAAGGTGATCATATGTAAATTTACTAAGAAAAAACGCACGTTTTTATTGATTTTTCCTGAAAATGGTTTATTTCATTGTTTTCTTAATAATTTGCTTATTAGTTTTAATATTATATTTCAAGCTATCTGCAGGAGTGTGTAAAAATAAAAATTCTATGGAAGGAAAAGTGATAATAGTAACAGGAGCTAACTCCGGAATAGGATTTGAAACGGCTCGTGAGTTGGCAGCACGAGGAGGCAGGATTATCTTAGCTTGTCGTAATGTAGAAAAAGGTCAAGAGGCTGTTAAGAAGATAATTAATTCCACTAAAAATTCGAATGTATGCATAAAGCAAATAAACCTGGCCTCCTTGAACTCGGTGAGAAAATTTGCCGACGAAATCAACAGTACGGAAAAGAGACTGGATGTCCTTATCCACAACTCAGGAGTATATTGTACAGGATTGAAGTTTACAGAAGATAGTTTAGAAGAACAGTTTGCTACAAATTACTTTGGTCCATTTTTGTTAAACCATTTACTTTTAGACCTGCTCAAGAGATCCGCTCCTTCTCGCATAATTGTTGTATCTTCTTTTGCATATAGAACAAGTAATCTTGATTTGGAAAATATGAATTGCGAGAAACATATTAACAGTACATTTTTGACATACAGTAATACTAAATTAGCAAATATTTTATTTGTGCACGAACTGTCTAAGAAGTTAAATGGAACTGGAGTTACTGCTAACTCACTACATCCAGGATTAGTTAAAACAGGAATATTCCGTAACACTCCGTGGTACACAAAATTTATAATACTACCAATAATTTATCCCTTTTTGAAAGACCCTAAAAGTGGAGCACAGACAACAATATATTTAGCTACGGACGACAGTGTCAGAGACACATCAGGGAAGTATTTCGCTGATTGTAAACCAGCATGGATATTACCAGGTGCTAGAGATGATATCAAAAGCAAAGAATTGTGGGGAAAATCTGAAATTTTAACGAAAATTAAATAATTTTAAATTAAAAATACTTGCATCCGTTGCATTTTTGTAAATATTTAAACAACAGCAGAAAACTAAATTGAAATTCGGTTATTGCTGAACTTGAAGATCATATGAACTATTTGAGTTTGTCATTAATTTCCAACATTCTGTACAGAGGCGAAATACAGCGCGTTTTGGGAATAATTTTATAGAGTGCAAAGTATGTATATGATATTCAGTTATCTAAAAAAGGACAAGTGTTAACATTTATATATATATATACATTTATATATAACACATAAAATAATACTTTTACAAATTTGTTTTTCAAGTATTTCAGTCAATTATTTCAATTTGGGGTAATAATTTAAATATCGTAGTTTTTTTTCCAAGATGATATTTCAATTTAAAAAGTTTTCAAAATAACGATATATAAACCGGAATTTTAAAATTATGCACAAAACCAACTGTAGTACAATTTTAATATTATAGAGAAAAAAACTAATGTAATCGAAAGTGTCATTATTGGAAAAGACTTGGTTAAAGGAATCGTTTTAAATTATTCAAAATGGGTTTTTCTCCATAACTTTTGCTTTTCTTTTTTTTAAATAATAAATGGTTTAAGTGATAATTAAACAATATCTTCATTTAGTACATGTTTTTTTTTACAGAAATTTAAATAATAAAATTTTATTTTAATTGAAATGAAACATTGAATTATATGCAGGTCAAGCTTGTGGTATGTTACTATGTATTGTTGTTCACATCAGCATTAAAATAAATAACTAATAATATAACTATAATATGAACTCTTTGGTTTGTCTTGTTTGTAAAGAAAGGGCTGTACCTCAATGATTTATTTTTCTATGCTAAAAAATTGTAAGAGCCGTGCTGTTTTGGGTGCTCAACATTACGTTACATTTTTTTTTCTGGGCAAAAACTAAACTCAAAATTTTGAAAATATGTCGACACATAAAAAATGTACAAAGAGTACGATGAAATAAAAAAAATCACTCGATTATTATTAGATTATTTTTTCGAGGTTAAAATTAATAACTAGTGAACTGATTTAATATTTTTAAATGTTAACAGATTTTTCTTTAATTTATTTAATAAATTTTTGTTAATTAAAAAACATAAAAATTATAAAAATACATACACGTGTTTATTCATATCAGTTTTATAAAAGTAAGAAACTTGATCATATTTAACTCATTTCTCAATCTTTTTATACCACTTTGAAATGGTTCACTTCATGAAATAACTTATTCCAAGTGTTATTGACAATAAAAAAATTTTTTTAAACTATCATCAACTATCTTTTCCTTTTCAACAAATTTAAACAAATTCGATGTTAACATATGCGAAGCTTTTTAGTTTGTACTTAAAACTTCACGAAAAATAAAATAAAAAAGCGCAAATCTTGTTAAAGAAACCAAATTTAAGTAAATAATTTCGCAATTAAATAAAGAGTTTAAAACCATGAAAAAATTAAAATAAAATGCATGCATCCACAAAAAGAGAGAGAGAGAAAAAAAAAACATTGCGCAATTTGTAAACTGAACACTCCTTTCTACAAATATTATATTCCGAATCCTTGAAAAAAAGTTTTGAAATAGCTTTTAAAAATAGCGAGAAGGAAATAAGTGAAAAAAACTTCATCCTTCTTGTCAAACATTTCTAATTAGTAAAAATTTTACAAACGTGGTTGTCCATCGCACGTATATAAACGCAACGGGTGGTGATGAATTTTAAATCACCTAAGGAGATTTGACCCATTTCAAAATAAAATAAATGAATGAATGCAACTGTCGACTTCGATGGATAAGTACTTCACTTTCATTAGTGTGTATAGAAATAGAAGTTTAATAAACTAATGACCTACAAATTTTCGCGTAAAAAAATCTTTCTAATGGTACTTCTCGTTAATTTAGTTATTCTGTGTTGAGTAACGGATGGTCTTTCTCTTGTGGATAGACTTATAATATAAGAATGATTTATTTAATTTCTATAGTACTAATATCATTGCTATTCTTAAAACTATATTTAAAAGTATCTGCAGGAGTATGTCGGAATCGAAATTCCATGGAAGGTAAAGTTGTAATCATAACAGGAGCTAATTCCGGAATTGGATTTGAAACAGCTCTTGAAATGGCTGCACGCAAAGCTAAAGTTATCTTGGCTTGTCGAAATTTAGAATTAGGACAAGCAGCTGCGAACGAAATTATAGCTCGTTCGTGTAATACAGACGTTTATGTACGGCGAATTGACTTATCGTCACTCGATTCAGTAAAAGAGTTTGCAGCAGAAATCCACGCAACTGAAAAAAGACTGGATGTACTGATCCATAATGCTGGAACAACGCCCAAATCTGGATTGCATTTAACAAAGGATAATCTAGAAGAGCAATTTGCCACAAACCACTTTGGTCCGTTTCTGTTGAACCATTTACTTCTAGATTTGCTTAAAATGTCCGCGCCATCTCGTATAATAGTAGTGTCTTCAGTAACTCACTGGTGGGCAAATCTGGACCTGGACAATATGAATTGTGAGAAATGCGTAAGGCATCCATATTGGATTTATTGCAGCACGAAATTGGCGAATATTTTGTTTGTTCGAGAACTTTCAAAGCGTTTGGAAGGAACTGGAGTCACTGCTAATTCGTTGCATCCAGGAGGAGTTAGGACAAAAATCGCTCGGAATGCCCAATGGTATATAAAGTATATAATAATACCCGTAATATATTTTTTCTTGAAAGATAGTAAAAGTGGCGCTCAGACATCAATATACCTTGCTACCTCCGAAGAAGTAAAGAACATATCTGGTCAGTATTTTGTAGATTGTAAACCTGCATGGACATCTCCTAAAGCCAAAGATGATTTAAAAGCCAAAGAGTTATGGAAGAAGTGCGAAATTTTAACAAAAATTATGTAGAGAATAAGAAATTCATCGAAAAAAATTCTAAAAAAGAACTACTGCCGACTTAAAGATTTAAAAAATTATAAAACTTTAAAAAATATATATACATTTTAAACATAAAAAAATTATTTGTTAATGGTGCGATATCCGATTCAATTTATGCCAAGAACAAAGAGTAGAAAGTTTAGTAGGGTATGTATAACATTATAGTCTATTTTTTTGTTTCACAAAAACGGAAAAATTTATAGAATGTAAATAGATTCATCATATAATGCCGATCATTATAATAGTTTTTATATTTTTTGTGTATAAAAAATAAAGGACACCTGCTACACGTTGGTCATAGACTGAAGCAAAAAAATTGCTGTTAGTCTGCCAGTCTAACCCAAAATGCGTTAAGGATTAAAACATGTAGGTTTTAAAACGTAGGTTAAAATCACTTCAAAATGACGCAGACTAAATGCGGAAATAGACATTAATTAGAATGAAATAAAAGAAAGAGCACAATACCCAACCTTTCCAATGATCACTAATTTAAAGGGATAGAAAATCAGTTCTCATTTCTTTGATAGATAGTTAATCATTTGACAAATAGATTCCTGACTTTAAGCCACGCTAAAATCGGAAGATGTCGAACTTCGAATGTTACATTTTATATTTGATGGATGATTAGCTACAAAGTAACTGTGATATAAGTTTTTGTTATCTAAGGTTAAATAATAAAAATAACTCGCACTTCCAAAAATGACCGATTTTAGAAGAAATAGCTTTCATTTTAATAATTATAATTAGTACTTGCCGCTGATAAGTCGGACAATGGTGTGCTTAAGTGTAAAACACAATTAATTTTTTTTTACAATAAAAGTATAAATGATAAAAAGTTAATTTCAATTAATTAAAAAATGTCTCTATCATCTTTGACATGGAGAAGGATTGGGTTTTTGATATGACACAACAAAAATCTGTTGAAAACCTGCGACAAGTTTTTTTTTTTGTCATTGTAGACATATTAATAAAGTTAAATCACGCACTATATTTGCATTATAATTATTACTATGATCATGATTAATATATATTATGAGTAAAAAATAAAGATAAAATAATTAAAACTATTAACTGGTTTTTCTAAAAAAAAAACAAAAAAACAGTACTATTAATACTTTAAGATCAATATTATTTGTCATATTATAGCTATTCAGTTTATATTACATGTAAAAACCACGAGTTGTTAATTGTTATCAGTCTAAATATCGATTAAATTTTTTATGTTACAATTTAGGCATACTTTTTAGATTAAGTAAAACTTAAGTAGTCTTTCAATAATTGTCTCGTCTTAACTTTCGATTTTCTTTTAGATTCTCAAAATTAGCTGCTAATATTTACATGTACTCACCGATAAATTATTTCAATATATTCACTGATATGCAAACTAATAATATTCAAAAAATAAATAACTAAATAATAACAAATGCTTTGCTTAATAAGTTGATTTTTTCAATCAATAGATTCAAGGTTTAAATTAATATTTAGTACAGCTATTTAATTGATCACTTGTCATTTTATGTGTACTTTAATTTATAACTACTTCATATTTATAAAAGTTAATAATTATTTGAAGCAATAAAGAAAACAACAGAAATAAAATAAAAAATATGGCCACGGAAGCCGAAGGGGGTACCGGCCAAAAAAGCCACAAAACAACACCTTTTCTATTGAGAGAGAGGACAAATGCCTTTATGAATAATTATTTCTTACACTAAAATTTTACCCTATAAAGGGTTTTTTCAAGTGATAGTTAAAATCGGATAAAACTGTCTATTGTCAAAAATTTGCCAACCCTAACACAGAGTTTATGACATTACAGGGTTCCCACTCTTTTAGCAAAGCAAAAATTAAGCACTTTTAAGGACTTTTTATTGAAAAAATTAAGCACTTTTTTGAAAAATTAAGAACTTATGCAACCAGTGACAGTGCCAATTATTTACCTTTCTAAAAACACCAATAAAAAAANCCAGTGATGCTTGACTTCAATGATCTACTGGGAACCGTGTCTTAACGATCAGTCCACTGCGGGACGCATTATAATTATTACTAAAATCATGATTAATATATATTAAGAGTAAAAAATAAAGTAAAAATAATTGAAGCTATTAACTGGCTTTTCTAAAAAAAAAAAAAAAAAAAACAGTACTATTAATACTTTAAGATCAGTATTATTTGCCATATTATAGCTATTTAGTTTATATTACATGTAATAACCACAAGTTGTTATCTGTTATCAGTATAATTATTGATTTCAATTTTTTAAGTTACAATTTAGGCATATTTTTTAGATTAAGTAAAACTAAAGTAGTCCTCCAATAATCGTCTGATTTTAACTTTCGATTTTTTTTTTAGATTCTCAATATTTGTTGTTAATATTTACACGTACTTAAACATCGCCTATAAATTATTTTAATATATTCACTGATTTGCAAACTAATAATATCCAAGAAATAAATAACCAAATAATAACAAATGCTTTGTTTAATAAGTTGATTTTTTCAATCATTGGATTCAAGGTTTAAATTATCAATATTTAGTACAGTTATTCGACTGATCGCTTGTCATTTGATGTGTACTTTTATTTATAACTACTTTATACTTATAGAAGTTAATAATCATTTCTTACACTAAAATTTCACGCTATAAATGGGTTTTTCTCTTGATGGTTAAAACCGGATAAAACTGTCTATTGTTAAAAGCTTGCCAACCCTGATACAGAGTTTATGACATTATTGACTTGACAAGTTTATGCATTTAAATTTTCTTTTCCCGACTTTGTGTTCTAAACAGACCACAGGAGTAACATACCAATTTTTTTAATAATTAAGCTCTTACCATATTCACTTGGTTAGTCACTTATAAAAATGATTTTAACCAATAACAGTGGAGTGAGTCGAATAAATTTTGCAGGTGACAGAAAAACTTGTTCCACTCAGAACCTGTTACTTATGGTAGTTAGGTCTTTTCGTACATAGAAGAAAAAGGATTTGATTTTACAAGGAAATGCTCTCAAGTTAATTCCAAAGATAATTTTTAAGGTATTTGAATAACTGATAGAATATTCCACAGCCTAGAAATTAGTAGCTAAATTAAAATGACAAAACTACAAAACTTAATAAAAATAAACTTTTTTAAAGTCAAATGCAACCTTGGGTGACGAGAATCCAAAAGAAAAATGCCAATTTTTGAAATCAATTAAACATTGTGTGATTTTAAATTTGTTTAAGTGATTTTTCATCCGAAACTATTTGAAATTGGATTTAAGTATAAATTTTGCGTTTCATAGTGCATTTTTTGTTATTCTTTACAAGTTAAACAAATTAGCTAGAGGTTATAATTATTTTTTTCTTCATACAGGACAGTCGTTTTTACAATTTTAAATTTAATAGTGCATCTTACCTTTTAAGTTAAAGAATTTAGCAAGACACTATATTAAAAAGTCTTGTTGGTAGAATTATTTTATAAAAACCAATTTTTTTAAAAATCTTCGTAATTATTAGTTACTTTATAATAATGTCATAAGAAATTTCAACATGGTGTGGATGTCGTATTAGTATTTTAAATTTTCAAAAATAAAATAATCATTAAGTTTTGATAAGTGTGACTTTTTTCCCATAGCTCTATTTTTAATATTTTATCCCCTCCTAATGCATTTTAGCTACTAATTTTTTTGTTATGGTTTATTTAAAACACCTGTAAGAGTTAAGTTTGGAAACATTTCCTTGCCAGGAAAATAATTTAGACATAAATGTACAAAAATATCACTCAAATTAGTATTATAACAATTATTCAAACTACAACATATCACAAAATTTATCTCATTTGAACGCTTCTGTGACTATGATTAATTTCATTGAATTGTTATATTAATAAATAAATTATTACCTTTTGATTCCCATGTTCCAATAACAAATTTGTTTAGCTGAGGTGAAAATGTCGTTAAAATTATTACGTATCATTTGTAATAGTTACCTAGTTCATGAATATTCACTAAGCAATCTTGTAACGTATTACTTAAATTGTATTATTTAATGTGTAGTTTCTTTAATATAAAATGTAAATTTGTAATTATAACTATTAAATGCCCATTAAAAAAGAACTTTATTAATTTCTTTCACCTTACTGCCAGTAAATTAAAGTGTTAAATGAAACTTATAAATTAACAATGATAATAAGGTTGACATTTTGAACGTTGTTCTTTAAAAAAGTGACAATCTAAATTTATTAAAAATAAAATGCAACTTACTTACATTTAAAAATAAATATTCTGTGGGGGGAAAATAAATACAAGTTTTACAAGAATTTGATTCAAAAGGATCTTTCAAATTCATTTCACTTACCATTTTTAAAGAAAAGTTTACACAATTCAAATAAAAATTTATCAAAAATTAAAATTATGAAGAACCTATCTTGATAATTTTTGAAATTGCATGGTTTGAATAAGGACAGTTAATCAACTTTATAAAACAAACTTTCACCAACTTGAAATGTCTGATTAATTCACATTATGAAATTTTAAGTAATGGATAGTGGGAAATGAAAATTTTGATACAATGAAGTTCTATGCTATAATAAGGACACCACCACTAGTCAAAAAAAAAAAAAAAAAAGATTAGNATAGATTAGAAAATGATTCCCTGAATTAATGAACATTCCAATTCATTTTATAGTTAAGATTGTTGAATTAAGTTTTTCAAAAAATGATCAAGCAAAATTTCTAAAAAAACAAATCAGTAAAGAAGCCTGAAACAAATATTTTTACAATTGGTGGACTGAACAGTTCTTTGAATCAAAATCATCAATTGTTAAAATCATCAATAAGTCTTTTTAAATAATAGTTCAAAAGTTTTATATGATGAAGCACAGGGGTATATGAACATAGTAAATATTCCTTGGTAATTTAATTAAGTCACTAGAGTTCAATTAAAGAATACTTTTTTTAAAAATTCCAAATAAGTTTTGTTTTTTTTAAATTTCAAAAGTAATTCACAATGATCTGACAATCTACTGCGATATGGAGCAATTGCTTCATTGTTTTAAATATCTGTTGCTTGATGAAAACCATATTTTTATAGAAAAAAAGGGATACAATTCTATATATTTTTCCATTAAATATTTTTTGGCTTTTTCAATCTAAAAAAAAACAAATCCATAATTCCGAGGTAGCACCAGAAGATTCTCAGCTGGTAAATGACATAAAACAGTAAATCAATCATGAAAATTAAGAGAAATAAATAGGAAAATAAAAAGAAGTTCTACAATTGGAATAGCAAAAATAGGAGGTCTGTGGTCTCTTATTTGTGAAATTAACTTGTAATGGAAGCAGTACAAGTTTGAATTCAGAATTTATCTTCTTAACATATTTACTTGCTATATGTTTTCAAAAAATGCATAACAATTTTTCAAAAAGTTCAAGAGGGCTTTGAAAATCAAAATTTAAAGAGAATTGTTTTTAATAAAGCAATTATTTCTAATTTTTCATATATTCATAACAGAGTTTCGGGGATAAAACTATCATATTAAACAATAAAATAATTTTTTTTGTATCAGTTTGAATATCAGATTTTAAATAGCAGCTTTACGAAGGTAGTATTTGTCAAATATTACTTTACTTATACATTTTAATAAATGTTGCAAAATTTAAAAAAAACTTTTCTATCGAATTTGTATACTGAAAATATAGACCACTATATGCTAACAAAAGACTTGTTGAAAACTTGAGTTGAAATTGTAAAGTTGCTTTCAACAAGCATTTTAATAAATAGAAAAATAACTAACATTTTAATAATTATTTATGGTATTGTTATCTTATGTAAAAGGCAATATGAATCATTAGATTAAAAAGTTTAATTACTAGATGCAGATTCTTCTATCTTTTCCTATTTCTACACATTAAAATTTATTTTTTAAATTATTTTCTATCTTTTAGAAAATTCTTTGGGAAAAGTAATCAAATGTCATAATTTCATATTACATTTAATTGTAAGATTCAAATTTACGAAAAAATTTACATATTAGGACAAAACATTTTTACTTCAATATAAAAACCAAAATAACTAAACTTTAGATAGTAATTATTAAGTGACTAAAACAACTTTACAAAAATAGTTTTATTAAATATTGTTTAAATGACCAAAAAATAAATATTTTACAAGCTATGCATAAGATGCCAGAAAATTCTTTGTAAAGAACTGCGATCTACGCAAGTATTATAAAATGAGCTGTATCAACAAAACATAGCTATAAAAATTATAGACACATCAAACACTTTTTACAAACATGCAATACTTTCTCATTTAAAAATTCATATCAAGTATAAAAGAAGTTTTGAATTACACAAATATATAACATTGGTAATATAAATAGTTTATAAAATATGAGAACAAGATCGAAAGAACATATGTAACAAATTAATACTGCATAGTTTAATATATACTGTTTTAAAAGTTTAACAAATAATGAATAATCTATACAATAAAATGTCACAGACAACAGTAAATTAAGATTAGATTATATACATATATAGCCTTACAGTAGCTTCTGGAATGTAAGTACAAAAATTACATAGCTGAAGAATGAAATTATTTTTAAACTTATTACTTTTACGATTTTTGATTTATTGAAATGATTTTTAGCTGATTCAAGAAATGATAAACAGATTAATTTTCATTTATAAAAATCACGTAACTTGAACAGATCTTTTAACAACAATATTAAGCTCTCAAAACTTTAAAGTTTAAATGTTTTAGAAAAGAAGTCATTGTGAAGAAAAACGTGAAACAAAAGGATGCCCATTAAGAAGAATGTTAGGACAAGCAAAATGTTTTGTTTAAGATGTAGAGAATTCTGCTTCTTATCCAAAGTAGCTACCTGTAATAAAAATATATAATATTTAAGCAGTGAAATAACTAAATTATATTAAATTAATTTTGATTTTATGTTAAAATTTGTTTAAATTCTCAATTTATTGCAACAGATTTAGATACAGAAACATCAATGATTTACATTAAATGATTGACCTTAAATAATTACATTAATGATTAACATTAAATGATAACATTAATAGTTAACTATGTCTTGATTTTAAGCAGTTTCTGACCACCCCCCAAAAATATAAATTAGTCAATAAACAAATTTATTTTTTTAACTCTTTGTTTTATCATAAAGTGCCACAGATTTTGTATTTAAATCAATACACATAAACTTGCAATTATACTTAAAAGTAGCTAAAATTAGTTAAATATTAATTAAATAAGTATAGGTTATATTAAGTATAAGTTAAGTATTAAGTATTAGTAGTTAAATAAGTTAAATATTAGATGCATATTTTCTATTAAAAACTTATATTTTATATAATTTTGATATTATACAATTGTTTTTGCATAATATCAAAAGAAACTTGACCATCACTTGACAATATGAAGATGGATGAATGTAATAACGATTATGAAATGTATAGATCACAAAAAGTAAATTTGAAAGTTGGATTTATAAAATTATTTAATATACCAGATACTCATATGCAAATCTTAGGTAACAGAAGTTATATTCATTTAAAAAAATTTTGGATTGCATGTATTCGGTTTAACAGTTGAACAATTAATTTCTAATATTTATACTGTAATAGTTTTACTAAAATATAGTTTATTACTCTTAATAAAATTATTTATAATAGAATATTCTTCAAACTCATTTATGATGAAATGAGTTCGCTATTTCAAAACATGATTAAGTAAAAATACCTTATTTTCAAGATTCGTTAGAAGAGAGTTAATATTTTTCAAGGTTTTTTCCATTTCGGATTCTTCACTGAGAGGTTCCTCATCCTTTAACATACATTTCAATCTAAAACAAAATATTTTTCATTAACTTCAAATCAAAATTTATCATTTAAGTATAGATTAAAAATCATATTTTTACTAATACATTTATCAAAATATACTCTTTAAGATTTTTTTCCCCACAAGGATATATTAAAACAAAAGCTAACAAAAAGTTAAGGTAAAAATTAAAGATGAACATATTAATTTACAAAAATTTGTTTATTCTAGTTTTTTTTCCAATCATAATTAACTACAAAATACTTAAAACAGAAATTTGAGAAAAAAAAATCACTTTTTTTTGCATAACCTTTTAATAAATGTAATTTCACAACTTTAATTACGAAACAAATAAATTAAAACCTTTGTTAAATTACAGATTAAAAATTTACCACATACACTTAAACTTCTCAGACTTCTAATAAGTTGGTCTCACCTGGTCAAACCATATGCCTTTATGACAAAAATTTCTATTAAAAAGTTTTCCAACTAAAGGGTTCAATAAAGAGTAAAAGAAATTATTGAATTGCGTAATCTTAATGCTTTTACAATTACTATACCAATATTTTATATATAAATAAATTCAGCCATCAGCTTAAATAATTTTGCTACAGTCTATCTACTTTTGAACTAAGGTTATGATTGGAAGCAAAAAGCTTCCAATATTCTTTTTGAACATAAATGAAAGAAACAGGACATTAATGAGAAACTAAGCAATTAAAATGAGAATGCTTTTACAATTACAATTGTATGGGTAACGTTGAAAAACTATACGTCTTAAAATCTATTAAATCAACTTTCATTTTTTAAAAAATATAAAGAATCAATAGTCAAAGAAATATTTAAACAATAAGTTTTTAAAAAAAATTTACTAAATATGATGCCATTAAGAAGTTAGGCTAACATGATATTTTCTTACAAAATTTTTTTTAATAATGTGTTAAGCTTAAATGACATTACTAAATCAGGGTAAGGAAATGTGTTATAAATGTCAGAGGAGGGAAAGAAATGTTCACTACAGTACATCAGGGTTAGGAACATCATGATTATCTGTGAAAGTATGTCTATAGACAGGAAGACAAAGCTTAAAATTTTTAACAAAAAGTATAAAGTGTAAAAAAAAAAATCACCCCTCCCCCCCATAAAAAAATTTTTGGGCAAGAAAAATAATAAAGCTTCAATATTTCAACTTCTGATTGATTCTTCTGTCAAGAGGGAGTGTCATATTTTTTTTTTTTTTTTTTAGATTACTCATCAAAAGCAAATGGACTAGGAAGGAAACCTTAATTTTGTTTTCTTTAGAAAATTTCTAGAAAAATTTTCTTAACATTTAGAGGCCAATCCTCCAAAAATTCACAATAAATTTTATTATGCCCCCCTTTTTTTAAAACATTTTGAAACAAAGTTCAGAGGACTGAATAATTATCTCGAATTATCTTATATTTCACAGTAAACAGGTTTGGCAGAATTTTCAAAAGTTGTAATACAATGAAATACCTAGACATAAATAGTAATTAGCAGCTGAAATAAAAAAAATTATGATATCTTGTATTGAAGCAAACTGCATACTTGTGATCGGCGATAATGTTAGGAGAGGCAGATTTCCATGCATTACTTAAATTGGCACCAGAAAGGGTTGGATCGGAAACTTCCATCGCCATAATCAAAAATTTATCAGTAGGTTGAGGATTGAAACCTAGAATTTAAATAGAATTCAATCGAATCTGTTATTTACGTGTAAACAACAGTGTACATTACAGAGGTTACATAATTTTACACAACTTTTAAAATCATTTAAAAAATAAAAATGGCATGTGGAAATTTTAAAAAGTTCTGAAATATGCAAAAAATAGAAACAAATAGGCAACATACAACATTGTAACATCTCATAGCTCTAAGAGAGGAATAATTTACAATACAAATTATAAAATAACTAAAAATTAAAAAATAAGCTTTCAATATTAGAAATTTATAAGGCATTTAAAAAAATTATGAGTTAGCAAAAGAATTTACTAAAAAGGGTTTTACAAATTTTTATGATATATTAAAATTTGACATTAAACATTTCATTTCAGTCTGCCATTTAATATCTAAACATCTAACACATGTGAAATTATTTTAAACAAAAAAGCATATTTTACGAACATTTTTTGAAAAGCTTTCTTTTCAATTTAATTGCTAGTTTGTGTTTGAAAAAAAAATTAAACATTTCAACAAAAAAATTTCTAAATAATTTTATAAAAAAAAAAAAACGAATTATAAAATCTTTTCTTTACTCTATAATACTGCAGTAGAAAATATCAATTTAATAACTTTAAATCAATATTATTTTTTGCAAGACTTGGAAGAAATTAAGTAAAAGAGCACTTAAGTTTAGAGCGATTAATCCCCTTGAAAATTACTAAAAGTTTCACAATGAAAACAAATTAAATTTGTTCTTAAAAATTATAAGTTTTTGTAAGAGCATTTTAGAAGAAATATAGATTCCTATGTTTCTGTTTTCTGTGTATTGTGCTCAAATCTAGTAGACATTCCAAACACTTGTAAAACATCTGAATACAATACTAGGGTAGAGTTTAGTGTAAAAATGTCAACTTTACAAAGAATGTGGCTTATCACTATTTTCCTAAGCTCTTCAAAAATAAATTTTAAAAATTTCAGAAATAATTATTCATGTTAACCATCCACAATAAATTTTAAAACAAGTAAATTTTAAAGCAAAAATTAAAAGCTTAAATTCACAAATTGATGAATAAAACCAGATAATCTCAGAATTTACTTTTTTATTGAATATTCTAATTAAATTATTGCAATTAAAACTTATCAATGATCAATATACCTGAAAGTAGTACAACATTTATATCTACAGTGTTGCCTGGTTGAATAACTCCCAAAGATGGTTTCACTCTATAACTTTCGATGTTATTAGTTTTCACCTGAAGAACAAAAAGAAAAACAAAACAATGTCAACAATCTTTAACACTTCTCATAAAAAGATGAAGACTAAAAGTTAACAGTTAAATAAATGTTTTGTTTCATGAAACTTATGATAGGCATTTTATATATATTTTGCAAAAATAAAAAATATGTCTCTTCATGAATAAATTTAAAACTGCATTACTCCGCAGACATGTGACTCCTAGACTAAGGTAAAAAAAATGTGGTAACTTTTATAATTCCTTTATTTGCGTAAAACAAATTAGGGTAGCTTGAGTGAGATTGTCAAATATTTATATTAAAATACAGTTTAAGAGATAAATTTTATAATCTACAAAGATTGTAAACATTAAAATGAAACAGTAACATCAAAACTTTAGAAAAGTTGGTTGTCTATTTGACTAACTTTAGACATGCAGGGTTAAAAAATAGAATATTAAAAAAAGAGAAAACAAGCAATTTTTCTTTTAACCTCTTTAAAAAAAATAGTGTGTTCACTTTTTATTAAACTATAAACCTTTAAAAAATATCCACTTAAGATACTTAGAAACTATTGATTATTTCTATCCAAAACATTTAAGAGAATATTTTCAAATGCTATTTAATTAAATAAGAAAAAAATTATTTTCACAAAAATTTTGCTCTTTTCTGATAAAATAAATATGATTATGAAATATTATTCACAATTTATATTTTAATATAAATCTTTGAAATAAAAATTATTGGAGCAATATTTGGTTAAATTTACTAACTAAAACAAAATTTGTAACAAATACCATTTACATAGTTGAAATTTTTAAAAAATGGTTTGTCGCGGTTTATTAGAATACCTTTATGATTTAACTCAGAATGATTGTACAAAACATGCGTACTAAGTTGATAGACTTATGCAAAAGCAAAGTATTGAAAAACAATGTAATAGTTTACCATTTTTAGATACATAATGTAATAGAATAGTATAAATATTTAAATGCATAAGATAAATTTTTAAAAAACATTTTGAGCAAATAAATTTACTTTATAAGAAACTGTTTTATCAGCAGCACAGGATAATTTGATTGCAACATCACTCGAAACTTGTGTATCGAAGATAAGTTTAGTTGCTGGGCTGCAAAATAAAAGAAACATTAAAAAAATTTGTTTTCTATTAAAAAAATACAAACATTAATTTGCATACCTAATTTTTAAGATTCCTCCAATAATTGTATAATCGTCAGTAATAACTACTTGACCAGGAATAGAACTCCTAGGGATTCCATTTTCAACCTAGTTCAGTGAAGAAAAAAATTCTTTTTGAATAAAACAAATGAAAGAATCTTTAAATTAAATGCACTTTATTATTTTAAAGAGGAAGGGTTTTTTTACAAATGGGTTGGGTTTTTCAAATAAGAGCAACAATGTATTGGACGTTTCACAAAGCTCTCAAAACTTTCTCCAAGTTATGCTCTCATAAAGAAACACTGAATTTTTCAGCAGTATATTTAAATTATAATTCTACTTTCTTGTCAAGTTATTGTTTTGATTACAGTGCAAATTTTTGTTTGCTAAAATTAAGGCATCACTAGAGAAATTATTGAAAGTTATATCCGCACACGGAGAGAAGTATAATAAAAAACTCTTCTCTCTTTCAGTGTGCAATGATATCAGTAGCGATACAAATAAAGCATTTTTTTAAAAAAAAATTCTATATTTTAGAATATTTTATAGCAATGCATTGACATAATAGTATTTTGATAAAAAATTATACATACATTTTACTATAATTTAGAAACAATTTCAATTTATACAACGAAAAATGTAGTAAATTTAATGTTATTCCAAAAGGGACATGCAGTAATTAGTAAGCATTTGAAATGTTATATACTTACACTTTTAGAACCTGCAGGTGAAGAAAAACGCACCTGTTAGGAAAGGTAGGAGTTAAGGAGGGAATTAAGCTACTTTCATTAATGACAAAATGTAATTATAGTTGAACAATATTACAATAATTAGTAAATTAAAGAAATTTCTAGGGATATATGGTTAAAAACTTTAGCACAACATCAAATTTACTACTTCATAACATTAAATTTAGCTATATTAGCAAATATTAACATTTTTTTTACTTAAGTAATAATAAATCACAGTTAAATAATAGTATATAGAGTGATCATAGATTAATGGAGACCCATGAAGCCAAACTAGATTTAACACTATTGTGCTCCTTTTACCAAAGTAAAGAAAACATTAAAAAACACATAATTATAAGATGTTTCTGCACTTGGCAATTGTATGTTTTAAATAGATAAAACTTTCAAAAGAAAAAACTAATGTTGGTACCTAACAAGTAATGCTCACTTTCATTTAAAAATTTAGTCACAAATGTTTATATGACCCAATTTTAAGATGTTAGGTTGAAATTTTACATTAGAGAATAAAGAACATAATCATATATATAACAAGTTGATAATATAAAAAAAGTGTGTTTAAATAAGGAAATGAAATTTCTACATTTGAAAATACTTCTCAAAGTGTACCTATTGGTAGATGTTTAAGAAAAATCAGGCGATTTATCTTTGTCAACGAGTTAAGAATATAAAAACGGCCAAAAGTAACATATACATTGCATACACTACTTCTTGAACACACTACTATTAGCATAAATCCCAATGTTTTTCTTTTTCAATGTGGTTGCATCTCTAAGTATTTCAAATAAAGAATAATAAATACGTTAAAAATTAGTCAACTTAAGCAAAATCTATCAATTTTGTACCTTATATTTTTTACTTCACAAAATGCATAAAATCATTTATCCAACAATTCAAAGCTACAAAATCAAGATCTTTGAATGAATTGTGCAAGTTCCTATGATATTCAATGAAATACACACAAATCACTGGAAGTTAATGCATACTGATAAATATCTTTCTTCTCTAGAAATAATTACAATTTCTGTTTTAAAAAAAATTCAATAACGCTAACTGATAGCTTTTTATATATAATTTCTACTGATTTCATATTTAAATAAAAACTATGTTCTATTCTTATATTTCAAATTATTTTACACATGATTTAGAAGGTAAATGCATTCAAAGTTGTGCTTTACCTAATATTTTTTAGTAGTAAGAGTATACTGCAGCTATACCATTTTCTACATTAAGTTATCACAAAATTATTATAGACGTGAAATTAAGTAAAACCAAAATTATTCAACACAATTACCCTTTTTTCTGTTCCATTAATAGTATTACTGTTGATATCAGCTTCAGATGGAGGCTCCCACTCTGTAGTGTCCTATAAATTTTAAAAAAAGTGTTGATATTAGGTAATTTATAAAATCCTAAAAGTGACAATTAGGTAGACTACTGACCATCTCTAACATAAAAATTACATTTCGACCCTAAACATAATCAAATTTAGTTCAAAAACAGGTGGTATAAAAAAAAAAGCCTATTTTCAGGTTCATTAATTCGTTTAAAAAGTTATTTTAACTGGGAGATTTTTATATAAAATAAAATATCATTTAATATAAAACCAAAGCTAACAACTACTAGTTTCTAATTTTAAGTAATAAAAAATTTAAAACTGAAAGAAACTTAAAACATGAAACCATATTTGTTGCTAAACATATTATAAATAACCATTAAACACATTAACATAGCTGCCTTCACGGATAGGAAAAAATCCAGTAGATTTTACGAAATATAAATTTCATGATAATTATTGCGAAATATATTACACATAGGGAATTTTAGGGATTTTTACAGTCGTCAAAACAGAAACACTGCAATATTTTTCAGTTATGATTTCACATTAAATAAACTTGAAATGTCATATTATGTTTATTCATAATTTTGAATAGTAATAGGTATTTAATTCCTCAAAGACAGTTAACTGAATTTTATAAATGAGGCTTGCTTCACTATGTATTAGTGACACTTATTTAAATATTCAAGCAAAGTAATATGCGCCAAAATTCTATTTCAATAGGGATCTTTTAAGGAAACTTACTCAATTTTAGGGAATTTTCTGAAATGTACAAAAACCAGGAGAATTATTAAACCAGTAGACCTAGAGAAACTGGCAAAATCCAGTAGAGTTGGCAGCTATGTGAAAGGGAATTAGTAGCAAGATTTCTTTTACATAACTGAATATTATTCCAAAGGGAATATTTATTTTATTCAAAAACATGATGCCACGTAATTTTTAGGACTTTCTTAACGAGTTTTGCTTTCAGGAATAATAACACATTAACTCTGTCTGGAAAAGGCTTCTAGAAAGGCTTGTATAAGTATTCCATATATGTATTTATAAAAAACATTTAAGTGCTTATTTTAAGTTAAAAAAAAGTTTCCTTATGACATAAAATTAGTAACAAAATTTTACTTGTTTGATCTATTTTTTGACTATTCTAATTGGACAAAATCAAGATTGTGCCATTAAAAATTTAGGTAGCATATTTTACAGGTAGTATTATTAAGAAAAAAAGGAAAATCAGATTTTTTAAGGGATTTTAGTCTTGTATTTAAGTAAACATAATTAGAAAAAGGCCAACGTAAAATGATCAGATTATTTATTTATTTTGAAAGAACAATGTTATAAACACAATTAAAAAAACTTTTAAAATTTGAGGATAGAACCGGCACTTGCACGGTCATGGGGGGTTTGATCTATTGGGTTGCACTGATTACAAAAGTATACATAAAAAAAACTACAGAGCATCTCTTCAAAAGAATTCCTTTATTAGACTTTGCTCAATTATATCATCTTTAAGCAGGCATGGAGAGTAATCTGAAGGTATCAAGTGGCTAAGCGCAACACAGGAACCGTGAAAGTGGCTGGTAAAAATAGTTTACTGATGTTGCTGCTTCAAAAAAAGATAACAGGAATGGAAGGATCTTCGAAGGTTTAAATAGGGTATCATATGAGAACCCCTTTGACTTAAGAGCCAAGAAAAAAAATCTTAATGGTTGTCTTAAAACATCTTAGGCTGGATAAAATGTCAAACATCTTGGTTTATATACCACCTGCCAATTCCTGCAACAAGCAGTATATTTCTGTCCGATTCATGATTCGCAGCCAGCATTTTGAATTTAAAAGCACCAAAGGCGAAGTATGCATAAACTAAACCATAAATCTATCGATCTCTCCCACGGTGTTCAAAGAGGACAATTGTGGATGAATTCTGCTCATTCCAAGAATGCAAGAACACAAAAAAGAGGAGCGTTTACAAACTGAACTTTTAAAAAATATTTGTGACGATGTCACAATAACCTGTGACCTCTCTTAGCTTGTCCAGAATCGACAGGAAGTGGAAAAAAGCTCTGTCATGTTCGCTCCAATAGTATACGCATTAAAGATTATAATACCATAGCTGCCAACATAGATATGAAAAAAAAATCCAGTCGATTTTACGAAATATAAATTGTTGCATAATGTACTAAACATTTTACACATAGGTATTTTTATAGTCAAAAAGAAAAGCTGCAATATTTCCACTCATGATTGGCATTAAATATGCTTGAAAAGTTGTGTATTATGTTTACTCATAATTTTGAATAGCAATAGGCATTTAATTCATAAAAAATAATTAAGATTTTTTAATTGATGAAAAAAGGGAGTTCTGGATAATGATAAACTGAATATTTTAGAACAAAAAAAAGTTTTAAACAGATTTCTACAAATGAGGCTCGCTTCATTATATATTAGTAATACTTATTTAAATATTCTGGCAAGCTATAATTCATGCAAAAATTCTATTTCAATGGATTATTTCAGGAAGCTTTCTCAATTTTAAAGAATTTTCTAAAATATACAAAAACCAGGAAAATTTTTATTAAACCAGTAGACCAGGAGAAACTAGCAAAACCCAGTATTCTACTGGAAAATCCAGTAGAGTTGGCAGGTACGCATTAATTTACTCACCACAGTTTTCATATCTTAAAGACTGCAGAATAAAAAAAAATTCTGGTACTAAATAACTAAGACAAAATTAACAAATGAATATTTTTATAATAGAATAAAAATCAGGGCTTCAAAGTAAAACTCTTCTACAGAATTTTTTTTACTATTTTTTGAAATGCATTATTCAAAATAAACTCTGTACTTTAAAAAATAAAAGATTAAACCTGCATTATTTAAAATAAAAGATTAAACCTACTTAGTCTATAATAATTATAGGTAAACCTCACCTAATCTGCACTGACAGTTCGCTAAAAAAAAGGTTTGTCCCAATTCAACTCTGTCAACATGCACATGTAAAAAGTATGTCAATTTTCAAAATCTGCCAGGGCTGTCGACAAGCAAACAATTACTGTATATCCCAGTGTATACGTTTCCTAACCCCCAAAAGTTAAATCTTAATAAGGGTCAACATATACATAGAGATATATTCCCTCCTTAGTATGGAAACTATATCAGACATGGGACGATAATTTGAAGCACAAAAGATTATAAATCTCTTCTTGAAGGCAGATACTTTTTTTATCAGACTATTTTACACTACTTTTTTTATCAGACACTATTTTAAATATTAATTTTGCATTCGCTTCTTTAATAGATAAAATATATTTAGGTGATGGGGAAATTTTTGTGTGTACAACAGAAAAGAACATTTTAGAAGCTAATGGCTGATTACATTATTGTGGATTTCATTGACATAATTGTATTGTGCAATTGAATGGTATTGACTACCATATTTAAGAATCAAATGGGGCATGATGCCTAACATGTAGATATTGTCAAAGTCTTTGTAACACTTGCTTAAATGAGTTAGATTGTATTATGACCTGATTTTTGAACCCTTCATAGCTCAAAGAATTTTCAATAATAGTTAATATATGGATGATTAGCTGAAAACATTGTTTGAGACATCATGCCATCAACATTGAATTTTGACTGACATGAGTGGGATTTTATTTTCATGCAAGATTTAAATATTTTATGTTTCTATGAAATTTTCTTTCAATTTTAAATATATTACTAAGCTTAAATACACATTAATTTCTTGCTTCTAATTATATGTGTATTTATTTAAAAATAATTAAAATTTAGTTAACATTAGTTTACTACATCAGGTAAAGTCATGAGGGCGTCAAAGTTTACTGAGATTCAACTGCATTTCCAATTTTTTCATTTTAAAGTATTTTCCGAAAGAAAATTAAAACATACAATAATTAATACTAAACTAACTTAATTATACTCACAGTCCCACCCATATCTACAGGAAGATTCTCAGCTGTTACGAAATTTTGGACGGTGGTTTTGTTCACAAACTTAATCTTTTCTACAAAGTCTTCAGGTAACCAGGCTTTTATGATCTTCCACGCGGCTAAAATTTCAAAAATTAAATACCTTTATTAAATAAAACAAAAAATGCAAATAAATTAGGTACAAAGCTGCCATATACATATTAGATTGTTGCTAAATTTATCAGATAGTTTGCATATTAAGAAACTGAAAGTTGTTAACTATATGATATTTAGCATAAAAATATCAAGTAATAGTGTATCAATCATTATAAAACAAACTTTTAACAGTAAGGGTAAAGATACTAATGTATGTTAATATCTATGCAATTATTTGTGAATTACTATGCAGAATTACTATGAATTACATTATTTATGAAGTACTATTACTCTATATTTACTACTTTCAAAATTTAAAATTAAACTTAAATTAATGCTGTCACATGGTCACTATTATTTGACAGATCAATTAGTAAGACTAAAAAATAAATTAGGTTTAATAATAAAATTGATTAAGAAAGTAATTGATTAAAATAAAATATTTTAGAAGCAATTTTCTAACAAAAAGTTTTAGTTTAACTGCATATAATAATTTGAAAATATTTAAGAAGTTACCTCATGCCTTACTTTAGAAAACTACACTAAAACTAAAGAAAAACCAAGCACAAACTCAATGCACGCTTGGATTTTATCATTGGTGCACAGTTTTACACTGACACGTGAAATATTCCATCACAAGGTCAAAGATTAATTTGAATTCATTACTATTATAAAATATTTAAAAATAGCTTATAAAATACATAATGTTATTGGAAATTATTTAGTCGTAGCATTTTCTGCTGAATACAGAGTGATTTATTATTTATACAATTATTTGGTCAAATATTTATTATTCAGTCAAAATCGCTTTTTGGTAAATAGATAATCAATATGAGAATACATTGGTGAGTAAAAATTTTCCTTTATTTGAGAAAAAAAAAAATAAACATTTGAAATTGTTCATATAAAAGAATGCAAAATATTTATATTTTAAAAGTTAAATTTTATAAAATTAAATTTAACTTCTAAAAACAGATTCTTCTAAAAAATAGCTGCATAACTATGTTCAAAAATATCATATTCAGGTAAATGAACACTTATGCTCTTATCACCAACTTTTTTATGCATTTTATAAAATTAAATGTATTTATCTTCCATTTATTGCACGAAATGTTATCTTTTTATAACATCTTGCAAATAAATTAGATCCCAAAAAGAGAAAAACAATGGGTTATAAGAAAAAAAACACTGTTACGAAAGGGATGAAGACAAATTGTTTTTAAATTTATAATTTTTTATATTCCTAAATATGTAAATTACATCTTGAAAATCTTCTCTTCTTAATCATTAATATTAACAAAGTAAAAAAAAAAAATTAAGCTGTTCTGATTCAACTTATACTTTTAGAAAATTTATTCAAAAAGTATGTCCATCTTATTTCTGATTTCATTAATTAATGCTAATTCAGTAAAATAAGGGAATAAACAAACCAAGAGTAATAATTCTTTACATGTACAGAAACTTATATAAAGTATAAGTTAATTCTTAGCTTACTAGTTGATTCTCAATTTAATACTAATTTGTTTTTGGTACACTATGTTTTTAGCTACAAAGTAAAGATAAGAACAAAATTGCCATCAATTTTTAAGATTGATTTTTACTTCACTTTTATTTTTCAAAAACCTTTAGAAGTTTATTTTACAATACCTAAGAAACTAGTCTTAACAGGCAACTGCATTTTAAAAAAAATTCAGTTTTTAATCTAATAAGAAACACAATATTTTAGTTAAAATAGTTTAAACAGAATATTATAGTCCAAATTTATTTAAGAAAACAGATTTAAAGGAAGAAATTAAAGAAACTTACGGTTCAAGATCCATGGAAATTCATAAATCAATATATGAGCTACGAAATTGAAGAAAACATTTATAATGAGTATTATAGGAAAAATTCTACAATAAACTAAATATTGAATAAGTTTTTAAAAATTATGCCATTTTATTTTTGGTTTGAAGTTCTTTAAGTATTAAAGTATGGAAATATATTTAAACAAATCTTAAAAAAATTTTAAAATTGAATAAACTTGCAATTTAACATAAGGAAATAAAATATAATATTCTAGCACAGTTTAAATAATTTAAAAAACAACCTCAAGCATTGTAACTATTACAATAAAAAAATTGGAAAAAAAGTGAAGTTTTCTATATCAGAATATTTTTTTTATTCACAATGGTTAAAAAAAAATTCTTGCTTACCTAAACTGTCAGGATAGTAAGATCTGAACAAAGTGATTAAGAACTTTATAAGATCCAGATCCTTTAAAGAAAAAAAAATTAGAAAAAAAATTACATTAAGTACAAGCAAACCAACCAAATTATGCGGGGAAAAAAAGACAAATTGTTAAATAAGGTTAATACTCTTATGCATGTTAAAAAATGATAATATATTTTTCTTTTAAATCATATTGTACCCATAAAACTTTCATTTATTGTCAATATTAAACTACAACCACGATAAAACATTTTGGTTATAATCAGGGATGGTTGTAGTGATAATCCAGAGACAAAACTGCATATGTGCACTATGCAACCACAATTTAGACCATAGAGTGGTAGTAATTACTCACTCTCCACACTACACTTTCCAACTGTGCATGGACTTTTTTACTGCCATAATTATTAAAGACTCAAATTGGAAGAGTAAGCATATGAATAAAATTTTATAAACATTGTTCTTAAGTATAATTCAATTAAAAGTATATAAATTACATAAAATATTTAGCCAAAGCAAATTCAAAATTAAATTATAAAAATGAAAAAAAATTTTTACGAAGAGCATTACATTGCTAGTTTAAGTTTATGTTTTTAGTTTACCTCCAAGAAAAAGAAAAAACATGTATTCCAGGATTTAATAAAGTACAAATTAAAGTAAAAGAAATTAAATGCGCATTATATTATAATAGTTTTAGGAGAAAAACACAAATTGCTTACAAGATTACTTAAACCAGCTCCTTCACAGCTCATGATGACAGACATTCTACCTCCTTTTGTTTGTTCCTCCATCAATTCAACCCAATAAATTACAAAACGCCGAAGTTCTTTTGCAAAATCTGGGGCCTTTTTATGAAACCTCACAAGAAGCATGACTGCAAAAAATATTTAACATTACAAAAAAAAAATACTAGAACTATTTCTACAATGCTAATTAAACTTTGCAGAAATTATCACAAGGCAATAATTTTAAATTAAGTTATTTTTACGTGATCATAAATAACAAATACATAATTAGCTTGATCAACATCTGAGTTCCAATAATATAAAACAATTAGAGGTTTAAAAGTTTAACTTCATAATCCCTGATAAAGTAGTAATGTCGAAAATAATTTTAATTGCACAAAAATGTATTCTGACAAAGGATTAAAAGAAAGATCGCCAGTTTGTATTTTAAATTGTATTTAATTTTTTCAGACCTCAAACAGAAAAAAAAAAATTCAGTTTTTATTACTATAAATAACCACAGTGAGCATACTGTTTTTCACTTTTAATTCATTTTGTTAATTCAGAGTCAAAAATATTTTAAAATTAAACACCTATTATAAGTTCTGTACTTAAAAATATTATACACTTATTAACATAACAATATTCAAACAAACAATAAATTTTATGAGAAAAGAATCACATTACTTATTGGATTGTTTTCCTTATCTTTATTGTAAGGAAAAACAGCTTTCGCTTCAAAGAATTCACGAGGTATAGAGGCTGCAGTCACATCTAACAAAGAAAAATATATTAATCACAGAATAACGTTATTCAATTTTTAACACAAATTCATTAAATTTATTAATTCAAAATTACAAATTTTCAACTATAAATTGGCATAGAATACTATAAATTGATATCAACTTTAAAACTTAAAAATAATCTAAGACTTACTTATAAAAGACTTAAATACAGTTCACACTTCATTTTAGAAACTAACTTTCTCAATATAACATAAAAGTATCTTATTTATAAATTCAATACACAACATTAAATTCTGATAAAAAGTAACACCTAAATTATTTAAGAAAATTCACAGTCCATCGCCATTAGGGTGATACATGAAAAAAGAAAACAATCGTTTACAATTCCCCCAATCGGAATATAGAAAATGTTTTATATTTAATTTGTTTACAGAAGGTAGCAGCCAGATACTGTTAATTGTTTCATGGATTAGTTTTTAATTCAGCAGCACAGATGTAGTTAAGAGCATTTGTGAATTGTGATATAGGTTTTAGTATTTCAAAATGTTCAAAGTTTAAAAACTGCTGCATACAGATTTGATTATTAAGTTCGTTACTACAGCAAATCTGAGTTAATCAGCAAGTATGTTCATAGAATCAAAAGTTTGGATATAATAATAATTGGTATTAATTTGTGATTTAAGTTTTAAAAAGAAAAAGGTATGAACATTGGAGATTTAGGAAAAAGTACAAGATGAGCCTGTCACAATTTTGTAGAAACAATATTCCAGAGAATTCATATAAAGCAACATTTTAATAATAACAAACTCAAAAACTAAGACAGTCCCAAGAGGTATTCAGCAATCACTTAAAGCAAAGGACACAAACTCATGGAGAAGAGCCTCTGGGAGGCAATAAAGTAAATATGAATTATCTATGTATTACGAATTAAATATTTAAAGTTATATAAAAAAAAGATTGATTATTAGCATGATACAAGAATGATAAATTATTAGCAAAAGTGCAAGATAAATAAAGATAAATAAAAGAAATAAAAATCAGATAAATAAAAATTTAAGATAAATTAAAGTTAATTACAAAGAAATATAATGTAAAAGATGCATCTGTTAGAATAATTTTTTTTCAATCAAAGAAAAGCAAGTTTTTAGAATCCTGGAATATATATTTACCCTGCACACATTTTATTTTTCATACTTTTAATAAAATAAGGGATACTTGAACAGGATTTTTTTTTTTTACTCTGTAAAAATATTTTTAACAACTTTGAAATCCAATATTCTACATCATGCAATTATTGAGGAAAGTACAAAAAAAAAAACTTACACAGTACATAATAAATGTAAAAATAAATAGATTTCATAAAAAGAAGTAAATACCTTTGACACCAAAACTTTTCCTCCACTTCAAGGCTTCATCAACCATTTCAAGAGCAGCATCAAAGTTTCCTTTTTTATGATTAATATATCTTTTACAGTAAGCATCATCATTTCTGATTTTATCAATGTCACACTGCTCATAGTCATCTGAAAAAGAAACAGCTTCATTTAAATTTAATAAATTAACAGTCTTAATTCAATTCTTAAAATGTATAAAAAAAATTACTAGATACTAAGTTTCCACACAGTTTAATTTAACCTGGGTCCCAAGGACCCAGCTATCATTGAAAAGTTAGAGGGAAAAATGGGATACCAATAATTAAAAATTTGCTATAATGTTTGAAATACTTTAAAAATGTACATCTTAAAGGTACATAATTAAAACCTGTTTTACCTCAATTAAAGGTTAAACATAAAAAGATCAAATTACTAATTCAGTACACTAATATCATTTTACAAGGTTAATTAATACAGCCTTAATTGAACTCAAAATTCTCTTATAATAAGTAATTTAATAGGGAAGTTTCACAAAAATATTTTAAAACCAACCACAAAAAATAAGATCAATTTTTCGAATTGTAACATTATATATAACCAATTTATTTTAACATTTCAACAAAATACAACAGGAAAAACCAGACTATAATAAAAAAAATGTCAGAAGGGGAACTCCAGATTTTCCAAAAGATGACAACTGCATTGTGTTTTTTGTTCCTTTTCCCTCAAGTCCTCTTTTTTAACTATTGCATTAATTTTTATAGATAATTCCTTTCAATCATCCTTCATACCAAAACAAAATATATTAAGAAAAACCAAAATATTAAGGGAAAAAAATTAAATAAAAACGCTTTTAAGAGCCAAACATGTTAGATAGAGCCAACCATAAGTTACAGAATGCGACACAAAGAAGACTTCTGCATAAACATTTCTTTGTCAAAATTCTTGCTCCACAATATAAGGGGAGTGGATATGCAATCACAATCTAGAAAATAAGGTGATAATTGTTTAGTCAAGAGAGAGAGAGAACGAATGCTTAGGTCCCCTAATGTTAATTTCACTTTTTGCATTTACGGGTACCTCAAAAACTTATTTTATGATTAAAAAAAGTTCTTAACTTATTTATGAAATAACTAATAGCTCCCAAAAATAGCTACATAGTAAAATAGTTTAATTATTAAAATTTCGTTGTTTTATTTAATAATACTCGGAAAAAATTTGCATTGTGAGGCATTTTTTTTAATATAAATTTCAAATGATAAAATACAAAATTTAAACGTAATCGGTTAAAAAGTTTGGCACTAATAAAAATTTTTTTTAAAAAAAGGCACATTTTTAAATATTACTTTTCCAAAACGATCCGACCGATTTCGTTCAAATTTTGAAACTTAAAATTTCCAAAAAATTTTTTTGCCTGACAATTCAAGTTTCTTTTAGCTATTAAATAAAATATAATTTTTTTCTATGACTGTCTTTAGGCTAACTAGTTTTATAAATAAGTGCAAGAGTATGAGTTGTGCAATAAGTTTTAAAGATGACCAAAAATGCAAAAAAGTAAAGATGCAACCAATTTCGCATTGCAGCTATTCCACCCCCTCCCCTCTATTACAGATGGCCACAGATCAAATCCGTTGAAAAAAAGATGTGCTGAGAACGTACGCTTGTGTGTTTGATTCAATATTTTAATTGTTAGCACTAATTAAATAGCATATTTGAGAATTGAGTCAACCTTTTGAACCATTAAAACTTTAATAGTACGTGAAAATCCGATCATTAGAAATAAAGTTATTCCAGACGATTTTTTTTTTCACATTGTAAATCTCTAACTTATTTTTTTGCACTGATAGTTCAAATGATTTAACGATTCTATTTATTCTAGTGTAGATTGAAGATGATTGTATACGATAATATAATTTTTTTTTAAAATTGGCCCAAATTAAAACACCATGTGAAAAGCTTTCTTTTTTTTCTTCAATAGGAATTTTAAAAAAACCTACAATTATGCCCTTCAAATTATATCTTGTTTTTTATATTATAATTTCCTTCGGGCGCACTTTTGTTTATTTAATAAAATACTTTAGCAAAACAATTTAATATTACCACAGCTTTCAAAACGCTGCCAAACTTCATTTTCTTTCAATATTATAAAGAAGGGTTAATTGAGAAAAATTTTTCAAGTAAAATGAAATTATTCATTTCAACTTCCTTTCGTATCATTAACTACTCTTAATTTCACCACATTTCGACATTTGGAAATTAACTATAACATTGTTTTAAAAATGTTGGCTATGGTTGATCATGAAAAATAAGAATGCAGCGACCTTTACGTGAAGAAAACAAATATTTTTAGTGGATAGTTTTAGATTTAGTTCGCAAGTCTCATGAAACGCATCCCCCACCCCTTATTTTGGCCCTCTACGCGTTTTTGTGCGTTAGCAATAGCAAGAGCCCTGTTATTAAACTAAATGATGAATAAAGAATAATTTGTTTGTAAAAATTCAAAGATAACTTATTTTAAATTAATCAGCATAATTTGAGCATTTTGTTCGAATACCGAATATTAGGGCCAAAAAAGTCGATCGAATATTAAGCATAATATAATATATATTGCTGAATAGCAATATTTCGTTTAAAAATTTAATAAATATTTTTATATCCATTAATAAGTTGTCATGATAAAAAAATATAGGGTAAAAGGAAAAATTGTTATCAATTAGAAATGTTTAAGATAAAAAAAAAAGTAATAAAAAACTAACAGCTATTTAAAAGGGGGGAAAATGTAAACGTGAAAAAAAGAAATAGAAAGAAAATCCTCTTAAGCCTTAGAAATAAAGATAAAAAGAAAAAAAAGTACCATCTCTCGGAGAAAAAAATTAATATAACGTTAAAAGATAGTATATTGAAAACACTTTTACTGTAAAGCCAAAAAAATGCCTTGCCAAAAAATAACTTGCCAAACATTCGGCCAACCGAATATTAGGCTAAAAGGCCGAATACCGATTATTCGTTTCATACATATATTATTTCCTACAAAATTATTTGATCAGTTGTGTTAAAGATTTTAAACTTCACATCAGCTGTGTAACAACCAAACGAGGAAAAAACTGTTTAAAGGTTAGAAATAGTTCCAGAATTGTAAAAATTTTAAATAACATGTAAAACCCATCCACGTCTATCAATATGAATTCCCTAAATTCCTTCTATTTAATACCACTAATTTATACATAATGAAGAAAGTTGAAAATCGTACAAACGTATATTGTTTTGACTCTCAAAAATGTGTAGATTTAATTTAAAGAGAAAAAAACCAAAAGTTTGTTATGTACTGAAATTAAATTGATTGAATGTTATGTGTCAGTGAACCAAGAGCTGGCTGCGACTATGTTGCGCTAAACACGATATTTAATAAAAAAATTAAACGATGCTAAAAACAGAATCCGACAAAACCAAAAGGGACGGAGGAACAATTAAAAGAAAAGGAAAAAGATCCCATAGGTTTCCTGGGAGTCTTTGAAACAGTCTTCACCTAAAAATAAAACGTCTTTAAAATATTTTATTTCTTAACTAGGCATTAACATGTCTAGGCATTAACAATTTTAAAGCATTAAAATAAAAAAAGTGGTTTTCTGAAAGGCGTTTTAATTAAAAATTTTCCATGAATTTTTTTAGTGCGAAAAACCTGATTATGAATAATTAAATGATAAATGTTTAAATTAGGCACCATTAATTTTATAAAAATATTAAAATTTATAAATGATGAAACACATGAACTTTTGTGACGGAGAATTTTTGAACTCATCAGCGATTACCGCTAAACGCTGGGCTCGATGGTACCATTTCTGTTTTTCATAACCATTCAAAAACTTAAATTGTTAATTTTTAAGCTTTCTTCCTTATAACTTTAGATTTATTTAGACTTATGCTTAAACGCAGACGACTTCTTTTTTCTGTATTGGTTATCACAACCTTTAAACTTAAACTAACCCACGGCTGCGCAACTGATCACTGATAAAGTAAGAAATAAACAATTTATGCTAATCATATAAGGTCAATTGTTAGGGTTATTCAATTATTCGGACAATTAATAAAGTATGTTTCATTCGAACAAATAAATATAAGATTCTGGACGATAACACTGTTTAAATAGCCAATAGACAAAAAGAGATTTCAAGGACAGAATAGAACAAATAAATTTCCTCATTCAGCATGTTGAAAACAATCTAGTTCAGGTAAGTCTGCGAAATTATTCTGTCAAAGGACTTTCAAAAGAAAAAGAACTAAGTAAACTGTATAAGGTTCGTCCACAGTATTTCAAGGCCATTTTTCAGTGAATGTGTTACAATATTAATAAAAAAATGATATAAAAACGAATATGAATTGGAATTTTTATTAACTCGCATGATGTATTTAAACAATCAAAGGTCGAAATACTACAATTTATATCTAATAAATCAAAGGAGGAAAAGCGTTGCATGCTGCAATAAAATTAACATATTGAAAAGAAATTCGTGCTAAGAGAATTTTAATAAACATCTAATCTGACAAAAAGAAATAAAAACCTCTTAAACTCAAGAGAGTTAGAAAATAAAAACTAATTTCTTAAAAAAAATAGATTAGTTTGATTTTCTAAAAACTAAATTCTGTTTCGTTTAATGAAATTTAAATATAGATATTACACTTAGCAATGTAATATTAGCATCATTCAACTTAAAACTGATCAACAACAACAACAAAAAAAAATTACAATAAACAAAAATATATTTTAAAAAATTAGTTATCGAGTGTCTAATAACGAGATTTTAGAACCGTAGGGAAAAATCGAAAATACCCAAACTCATTCACATTAGTAATGATAATAAAAAAATTAAATTTTCTTTTCTTTTTTAGCAACGTTTGTTATTGAAGAACTTGTGAGCGAAAAAGAATGTTTCAAACCATTTGAAATTCCAACAATAACTTAAAGTATATCAGATTTTGTACAACTTAAAGAAATAAAATTACCTTTTAAGAGATTGATACAAAAGTTTTTAATTAAAAGTGTTAAATGGAACCTGATCTGAATGCCAAATGAATTTGGTTGCTTTCATAAATAATTTTTCAACTAATTTCAAAATACTTTCGAATTGCTAATGTTTATAAATAAAAACTAT